ATGCAATGGATGTGCTCTAGATTCGTCTGGAAATGGACTCTACAGAGAATTCATAAGGAGAATGCAGGCTATCCCACATTGCTTGGTACATCAAAGTTTGAATGATTGCTTAGCCTATAAATGGAGAATATGCGGTATTTCATTTCCACTCCAGCTTAATGTTTGAATTGAAAACTTTATATGGGTTGGAGTATTTGGGAACTGGGCATGCTCTTTATACCTGGAAGTTTTCAAAATAATGATTATGAGGTCTTTAAATTGACAATTTTTAATAATTCTATGAATTTTGAATTAAATTAGTGTGAAAGTTTTTAGCAAGCGGATATCCGGACGGAACCGGTTCTAAAATTTTAGCAACTGATGTAACCGGTTCCATTAAATTTGGCCGGGTACCTGCCTTTCCTCATCCCTATTAAATGTTGTTACGATAAAAAACCTTAAAAATTACTTAAAATAATAAAAATAAATAAATAAATAAAGGTTATTGGTTAAACCTAATAAGATTATCTGTACCCTTCTCTGTTTGTAAAACCCCTCATCTCCCCTCCGCTCGAAGGTGCAGACGCCAAGATATTCCCTCTTCCATTCAGCCGGCGGCGACACCGACGGATTGACGGAGAAGAAGTTTGTATGCTTTTTCACTTCTCTTTCACACTATTTCCGATTATATCTCCACCATTTTTTTCTTCTTTCACCATTTTCGCATTCTCATCAGAAATAATTCAGATGCGTTATCCTGGTCTCAAAACCTAACCTAATTTACAAAATTTTCAGAATTTGAATTCAGTATTTCTCCTAATTTCGATCTCCTTCCTTCCATAGACCTGGAATTTCTAAAGTTGATCGAATAAAAAATGGATCCACCACCGATGATTCACAAGGACGATGCAGATGAGGATGATGAGAACGTGAAGCAGCTCCAGCAATGCTCTTCTCTATATATATTATTACAGGTAAAAAAAAAAAAAAAAAAAAAAAAAAAAATAGCTCTGAAATTCTTCATTAACCCCAAAACAAACTCTGGAATCTGAAATTTGGTGTTTACAATTCTTTTCAGGATTGTCTTGTTAATTCTAATAGGAATTGGAAGGTTTGCCAGAAAGGTAATGCTCCTTATATCATCTGTAACAACAATTCATTGATTGCTATTTGATTCCAGAATGTTCTAACTGTTTTACATTGTGCATTTATTTACAGAAGTTCAAGATCTCAAAGCTTGCAATGAGAGAAGACAAAATATCAAAACTCGCACAAATGGTGGAAGTTAGTAGTATAAATGCGAATGGGCAACAGATAATAATTTGCATGAAGCCCTAAAAGAGATTTATTATAGCATCATACTTTTATTTCCTTTTATTACATTATTGGCAATCTTGCTGCAATAAATCAAAAGTTAAATGCAACAAATGGCAATGTACTTTTGTTAATTTCTTTATTATAGGATCATACTTTTATTTCCTTTTATTACATTATTGTAATCTAAAAAATCAATCTAGTTATAGCAATGTCATGCAAATCATAAAAAATAAATGACTTATGTTAATATTTTACAACATGTAAAAAACAAAATATATTTCGTTAGAAAATGCGCTTTTATGCCGTTAGCATAAAAGACCACCATTTCCAAATGATCGTTCATATTTGTTAAAATCCCGGTAAAAAACCATGCATTTTATCAAAATTTCATATTTGTTGATCCAGAGAGTAGTTTGAGATTTCATTTAGAAACAACTTATTAACTTATTGACTTTTTGAAATGTCAGTAAATTAAAAAAAATGTTTGACAATATGAAAATAACTTGACATCAAGCCTTTAAAAAGGAAATTTCAATAAGTTATAATTTCTAACTTCTTAAAATTCCTTATAACTTTTTGTGTTGTAAAAGCTAAAATACCCTTTAAAATATGTATAAGTTAATATAAACACTTTTTAAAAAATAACTTATTGACTTTTCCCACCACAAAAGCTAATCCAAACACTATTTAAAAAACTTCATTTTCTACAACCATATAGGGATGAAAATGGGGTAGGTTTTGGGCTTTTTCATGTCCCCATCCCCGAGTGTCTAACCTCGTCCCCATCCCCATCCCCGACGGATGCGGAGAATCAAATCCTCTCCCCTTTGTATTTTGGGCTTTTCCTCAGCCCATCCCCGGCCCATCCCCAATCTATCAACATAATAAACTCAACTTACAAAAAAAAAACCAAGGTTAATAACCTATCAAAACCAGATGCCATAATCTGATTCTGTTTACAACAATCATAAAGTTTAACAAGCATCAAAACAAAAAGTGACGATTTGGTATACAGATCATCGAACGAAGTGACGATTGATGAACTCTTGAAATTGGAAACATAATTTGATATAGGGACTCTATCTCTGATGGTCTAATATAGATCATTTCATTTTAGTGGACTTAATTCAAATTCAATAAATGATCTCTCTCTCTCTCTCTCTCTCTATATATATATATATATATATATATAGTCATCAAAGCGGGGGCGGGGCGGGTTGGAGATTGTTATACCCGGCCCCGGCCCCATCCCCAGTTTTAGCATAATGGGGATCCACGGCCCCGTAACCGGTACCCGTTTTGGCGGGGAATACCCGTCCCCGATTGGGGCGGGTCAATCGGGTTCCCCATCGTGTCGGGTGAAATTTCCATCCCTACAACCATAAGTCAATAAGTCATGTTGTCTAAAAGTCTTTTTTGAAGTTCAAAATGAATTCACAAACACCCTCCTAGTCTCCGAACTGTTCTTGAAATTTCGGATTACGTATATCCAAAATTTTAATATGAAATACATTTTACTTTCAGAAAATGTAATTGTAATGTGACATAAAGCTAGTTCGAATGTCTAGTTCCGGACATAATGGTCACTTAAGTCAAACCAAAAAAAAATCTGGTTTTTTCTACATATTTCCAAATTTCAAAATCATTTTTGTAAACATCCCAAAACTTATAGAATAAATTAGACTTTTTATTTATTATGGTAGATTAAACATTTTCTTCGCAAGGAAATGGAAAAATTATTGATTTCTGTCTTTTTAAAATATTCTTGATATTTTTGGTGTCTTGGATAACTTTGTAGTAGTATTCATCCCCTTAAGAAAGTATTTGGTATGTGAAACTGGACAACAAAAAAAGTCCTTTTATAGGCGTTTGAGTATGCATAACAAGAGCAAATGCGCATTTGATTGACCATTTGACAAAATTTTATACTTACTCGAAAAGATTTTAAACATCTATGGGTCAAAAGTTTAAAAAAAATGACACAAAGCGTCTACTGTTCTCTTGCATGTTAACATGCATTGGAATGCAAACAACTTTATATGTAGGGCGTATTCGGCAAAACTAGCTGGTAGCTGGTAGTTGGTAGCTGGTAGTTGGTAGCGGGTAGCTGGTAACTGGTAACCGGTAGTTGGTAGCTGATAGTTGTTGCTTTTATTTGTTATATTAGTGTTCGGAAAAAGTAGCCGAAAGCTTTTAAAACACGTAAAATTACATAAAAGAACATCTTGTAATAATATAAAATATAAACATAATAATAAAAAATTGATTGTCTAAATTGTTCTTTTTCAAAACTAGGAAAGGTTCAATAACTATGTACTATTACCAAATCACTTGACTCCAATTCATACTTTAATTCAAGTTCTTTACCTAGTTGTAGGAACACATTTGTGTGCATTCTAAAATGTATCGACACAAAGAATATGATGACCATTTAAAATTTCATTCATCCAAGACTCTAGTTTGGGGAGATGTCATACAAGGTTCCTTGTATATATATTTACAAAAGTATGTAGAAGCTAGAACACTTGCAGAGTATGAATCTAATAACAGTCTGAAACAGTAAAATTTCTTTCTCTTCTTCTTTTCAATTTCCATTTAAGCACATGTATCTATTCAAGATGATTATTATAAACATAAAATATATAGCATTAAATTTTGAAAATAGAACAATACGTAGCAATAAAATTTAAAATAAAACTGTGCCAATATGTAGCATTAATAGTTAAGAAAAACAGCCAAATGAAACGACATACTTAAATTAAATAAATAAATAATCCTATCAATAACAAATCATAGATGACATTTAATCAAGAAATTTAGTTGCCGACATTATTTTTATAATTCAGTCATGCTAGCCTACCTGCGTCATCGGGGAGAGTTAAAAACAATTCTCTTTTTACCGGATCTTCAAACAAACACATTGAAAAGCACGACAACTCGCCCCCTTTTGTTATTATCCCATCATCAACCATTCGATTAATCAAACTTACAACTGCACCTATACTAAAATCTTGACTTTGATTGACATGCATTTGATTGACAATACTTGTATCCGACTCTAATAATTCAACAGTACGTTTTTTATTAGCATTTTGTTGGGCCATAAACTCCTGAAACATTGCAGCTCCGGCTGACTTGTCTCTGTTTACGTTTCATTTGTCCAGGTTTAAGTTTGTAAATTTCTTTGGAAGTCTTATCAAGTTGAGTAGACTTCCTCGAATGCCCCAATTCGTGATTCATTATTGATTGTTCCATGTTAGGAATGCCTAGGCAAAAGCATGGTAAAGCTTTAAAACTCAAGTATGTGTATATTTGTATATTTATAATGTATAAACTGCGAAAAATAATTTCATTCTATATATTGTTTTTGTTTTATACGCTATCATTTATACACACACAAACACATATAAACTAATTTAACCAACATAAGAGGTTATTTTAGTTTAGATAACGGATTTTAAATAATATATTAATTAAAACGACCACATTTGAAAAAACTAACATTGGAATCGAGTCCATGTCCTGTATATGAAAAAACTAAATACACAGCAAAATCACCAAAAATGGCACCTTAAACCAGTAAAAACTCAGATCCAAATATTATAGCTGTCTAACAAAAGTCTTAACAAAAAAATAAAAATATTCAGAACCCACAACCAAAATCATTTAACTTCAAAACGAAAAAGCTAACAAGATCCATAACATTCTCCACCAAAGCCGATCAAAAAAACCAGAGATCCTACAAAAACACAAAACACAATTTAAACAAAATGATACAAATAATAATTCAGAAAAAAAATATATATAAAATCAAATTTTACCTTAACGTCTAGTAGTCTTCCCATTTGACCTTTTCCCAGAGTACAAATGTTTAGGCTTCAATGTCGGAATGACTCTATCGCCCTCACCCTTTTTAGCAGCCTTATTCCTCTTGTGAACTGAACTCTTTCCCATTTTAAATGCCTTCACCTTTTGAGCTGAATCCTTATACCCTTCACCTGGAACCAATTCATGCACAGGTGGCCTTGACATTGACCTTGACCTTGACATTGACCTTGACTTTGACCTTATCTTCATCTTCTTATTCGACCCTTCATCATCATCCACATCCATTCCATCACCATGATCAGATGACCTTTCCCTCTTTCTACCCCTTGACTCACTTCTCACCCTTTTCATTGCTTTTGATGGATCAAGCCCTAATGATGACAGCTGTCTCCCCATTCTTTCTGATGTAAATCTCTTATCTTTATCGAATTTTCTTGGAACAATTGGTCTGCTTTCAGCTGTGCTTTTCTTGATTCTGTGTTCACGAATTAATATACTTTTCTTTTTTCTTATTTCATTCAGCTCTTTCTGTTGTTCTGGAGTTAAATCCTCACCTTCCATTTCTTCATCTTCTCCATCTCCCTGTTCTTGAAGAAGCCCTTCTTCTTTCTCCAATTCCTCAAGCCTCTGTAGAATATCTTGATCGATAAAATCATACACGTTATGCCCATCGAGTATTTCAGGCATGTTATCTTCTTTCCATTCATCATCAGCTAAAAGATAATGTTTCTTCAAACTTGCAGAATAAACACCAGCTCCACCATTTTCATTCTCATTATCTCTTTCCAGTTTCTTCTTCACCTTTTCAGCTTCCATGGCTTTAGCTTCAAGAACACCTTCAGGTATACAAACAGGTCTTTCCTTCTGATCACGTGGCTTTGGCATTGCAACATGAAACCGATTCAAACACTCGTTGATTTTCTTTGACTTCATTTTGACTTCAACTCTTTGATCTAACAACCTCTCACAAGCTGCGTTTTTTACCGCGATTACCCCTTCTTCAGTCAAAGTACTCATGGTCAACAACACTTGTTGACCATCTACAACCAAAGTCTTCATTGCTTCTGACTTCATCTCTTCAACTAACTTCTTATCATCTTCCGAAATCCCTTCCAAAGATTGCAAATCCGTCTTGTTACAGACAATGATCAAAGGCTTATTCATGAAGAGCGACTTAATCGAATGAAAAAGAGCAGCTTGTTGAGCAATAGTGTAACCACAAGAACCAGAGATATCAAGAAAGAATAAAACAGCAGCTCTGAGATGTGCTAAAGCTGTTATACTAACCATTTCTATTATATTTCTATCCTCAAAAGGTCTATCTAGAATACCTGGTGTATCAATCACTTGATACCTTAAATACTTATAATCAGTATGTCCAACAAACAAAGACTTTGTAGTGAAAGCATAAGGTTGTACATCAACATCTGCTCTTGTAATCTTGTTGATGAAAGAACTTTTTCCAACATTCGGATACCCACAAATCAAAATAGTTCGAGTGTTTGGGTCAATAGAAGGAAGCCTAGCCATGTGTTGTCTGATCTGTTCAAGATAAGCCAAACTTGGCCCAATTCTTTTTGTCACTGTGCACATTCTACCAAGGGCTGCAACTTTTAAAGCTTTGCATCTGTAAAGTGAGTCACCATATTTCAATAACTTGACATAATCTTTGGCTATTTTCCCAATGAGGTTTCTTGCTGTGTTGATTTGACCAAGGGCAAGTTTGTAATGATCTTTGTTGTAAAGGACATGAAGAAGGTCGCCATAAAAAGGATGGATGTCATCGAGTCTTGGGAACTCATCGACAATTGTGGAAAGCTTTTCGTGAAAATTCGTTTGTGTGAACTTCACTTTTCTCATGTAAAAACCTCTGATTCGGTTGATTGCATAGCCTTTGTGGACAACTGTTGGGGTTTGTCTTTGGGTTCTACTGAGGACTATGTCTACAAAGTCTTTTCCAGTGGGTACCCTTGTGATTTTCTTGAAATTGTATTGCACCATGTTTGAATATTTAAGCAAAAACTGCACAAACACAAGTCGTTATATCAGAAATCTGATGAATGTTTATCTCTTGTTATGAACTGTTTTGAGTTTTGAGTGGTTTCAATCGATACAAGAAGCTTTGGTGTTTGAGAATTCAACAGAAGATCAAAATTAGTGGACTTGTAAACTAAAGCTATATTACAGCGTTTTTCAAATTCATTTCATCATAAATTAATAGTTGAAAAAATCTCCACAAAGTTAAGAATGTGTTATTGATAAATACAAGAAAGGTATCCGACTCCTAATTTCTGGACAAAAGAAAAACTTTTAGTCAATTTAACTGGCGAGTGACAATTAACTCTTATGCTGCTGATTAAGAGGCGTAACTAGTTGTGTTGAACTGTTGATGGCGATAATTTTAGCAGCAATAAAACGATTCTTAACAAAATTTCATATCATGACAAAATGTTAGTCTTTTTATTGCTAACTACAATAAGCTATAACACAGGAGACGAGCACAATACCACCAGCTGAGCTAAGATACAAAAATCAATTCGACTTCAGAAACAGGCATGAATTTGCATAAATACATGTAGCTATATCCAGAAACAAATGAACATATATCGAGATTAACAACCATAAATCAAACGAACAAACAGATATTCCAACAAAATGAAAGAAGTTTGTAAGAGTACTATACCAAAAATATCCGTTAAACACGACGAATCCAACAGCCAGAAACAGAGGACTTAACGAAGCAGGCGATTGTCAAGGAGGAGGAAGAGGAGGAGGGCGCAAAAACCCTACAAAAGTAGTAAGATTTTAGGGCACCGCTTTTATACGACAAATATATGACGGCTACAAGAATTGAGGCAAGGCTCAACTTGTCATGGCTGTAAGCTATTTGGGCCTATTGAAATAATTGTTGGGCTAACTGAAAAGTACATTTTGGGCTTTAAGAAAGTTATCCATTTTTAATAAAAACTACAAAAGCACCGAATAGCCCTTATTAGACTTTACAGGTGGAATTTTATAAAAAGAAAATTTTGCCCATCAAAGTATTTAGAATTTGTTTATTTAGTCTTAATTTTTTTTTTTGATGTGTTATAATAGATCTCATGATCCATATATGTAGTTATATATAGTATAAGGTTCTTCACTGATCTTTGAGTGCTATGATTAAGGAAAAAATGAACGAAGAGATCAAGATTACTGTTTAATTGTTTAATCTTATAGTACAATTAAATTAAGCTTACTTTTTGGAAGTAGATTCAAGTATCCTGCTGTAATTCTTGGTTTTGAATTTCTGAAATTAGGTTTAATTTCAATAAATTTATTAACAATTTCACTGTCATGCCCCTCTTTCACAAATTGAATAACCGATCGTTCAATCAAATATGCATCTCATGTTATCAGTTCCAATTGGTTATGGAATTACTTTGGGTCTATGTATGCAATTTTACAACAAATTATCCGACTATCTAAATCGATTTAATTTTCCATCTGTAGTTACACAAATTTATCATCACGTCCATATTTCGTCGTCATGGGACTTCTCATAAACAACAAGAACGGGAACATCATGAACAACAACCTGAACTTAAGGTAAGTACAAGCTGAAAATTATAATTTTTGTTTCGTCTTAAAAACTCATAGTTGGAATATCAAAATTTTGCATTAGCATTTCTCTTTTTTTTTTTGGAAACTTTGGACATTTTTTTTTTCAATCATTGTCGGTCAGTGAGCTGAAATTTTCTCTAGGCGAAATTTATTATATTGTACTAATGCAATATTTTAAAGAAAAGCTTGACCAATTAATGCATGGATGAACATTTGGACCGGACCGAATCGGTTTTGGAGAATATTGTGGACCGTGGACCGGACCGAATAAGACTTATCGGGTTCAGGTCCATGTCCGGGTTTTTTTTCGGTTCTTGGACCCGTTGGACTATACAACTTTACATGCACATGGTACAACTCGTTAAAACGTATTTTTTTTCGATATAGTACAGCTCGTTAAAACAAATATGTTGTTGGGTTTGATACGTTACAACTCATTAAAATGAATACGTTTTTGGGTTTGATGCGGTACAACTCGTAAAAATGAATATGTTTCCGTTTCTTATACCTATTGAACCGGTCAAACTTTGATTATTTATACCATTTATTGAAACTTTGAATTAAATAAGTTAATGACTTTATCATATTTCATGCGTAACACTAATCTAACTTTATCTATAATATTATAACTTGTAAAATTAATTTTCCAAATAAAAGCAACTAACATATAAATCAAGTTCACCAACAAAAGTTAACAATCTTAACACAAACATACAAAAGTAATTACCGTAACACCAAAAATCATAGTTTAAACTTTAAAATCAATCCAAATAACAAACTTCATAATCCAATCTTCCATTGTCCTATATCATTGTTATTTAAATCTAACATGTTTAAGCTTGTGCGATCTCTACATTAACACAAAATAATAGCTGAAAAACTAAAATATTTCAGCTTTGATATCCTAACTTTGAAGGATTATAAGTCATTGAATATAACACCAAAAACAACAAAACTATAGTCTAAAATCATCTACAAACTCTAAATTACACATTGAAAAAAATCGCATGTCAATCCAACTTAAAAAGAATGAGATATGTTTTTTTAAAATTTTTTACATAATACAAAAGTTTAAATTTCTTGTGGAAAAGTTGAAATATTTCAGCTTTGATATCTCAAATTTAAAGGATTGTAATTCATTGAATATAACACCAAAAACCAAAATTATAGTCTAAAATTATCTACAACTCTAAATTACAAACTCTATTTTTTTAAATCAGGTCCAAAACTGATTTTTACCCAAAACCGGCTGGACCAAACCGGTAAAAAACCGGATCGTTTTGATCAAATCCTAGAACTGGGAACCGACCCGAGGCCAGGGGGTCCAAAAAAGGTCCAGGTCCGGTCCACGAGTCCAAATGCTCACCCCTAAATGAGTGTGTGTGTGTGTGTAT